GGTGAACTAAGGTGAGCTGAGGGTGAACTAAGGTGAGCTGAGGGTGAACTAAGGTGAGTTGTTACCTTCGGCTACAAACATCAGAGGTGGCACTAAGACATCAGCCGTTGGGACCTCACCGAGGTGCAGAGGTCATGAGTGTAGTAGCAGTGATTGTAGTGGCAGTGATTGTAGTGGCAGTGATTGTAGTAGCAGTGATTGTAGTAGCAGTGATTGTAGTGGCAGTGATTGTAGCGGCAGTGATTGTAGCGGCAGTGAGTGTAGTGGCAGTGATTGTATTGACAGTGATTGTAGCGGCAGTGAGTGTAGTGGCAGTGATTGTATTAGCAGTGATTGTAGCGGCAGTGATTGTAGTGGCAGTGATTGTATTGACAGTGATTGTAGCGGCAGTGAGTGTAGTGGCAGTGATTGTATTGGCAGTGATTGTAGCGGCAGTGAGTGTAGTGGCAGTGATTGTATTGGCAGTGATTGTAGCGGCAGTGATTGTAGTGGCAGTGATTGTATTGGCAGTGATTGTAGCGGCAGTGAGTGTAGTGGCAGTGATTGTATTGGCAGTGATTGTAGCGGCAGTGATTGTAGTGGCAGTGATTGTAGCAGCAGTGATTGTAGTGGCAGTGATTGTATTGGCAGTGAATGTAGTTACTGATTGTATTGGCAGTGATTGAAGTTACTGATTGTAGTGGCAGTGATTGTAGTTACTGATTGTAGTGGCAGTGATTGTAGTTACTGATTGTAGTGGCAGTGATTGTAGTAGCAGTGATTGTAGTGGCAGTTATGGTAGTGGCAGTGATTGTAGTCACTGATTGTAGTGGCAGTGATTGTAGTTACTGATTGTAGTGGCAGTGATTGTAGTGGCAGTGATTGTAGTGGCAGTGATTGTAGTGGCAGTGATTGTAGTTACTGATTGTAGTGGCAGTGATTGTAGTTACTGATTGTAGTGACAGTGATTGTGGTTACTGATTGCAGTGGCAGTGATTGTAGTCACTGATTGTAGTGGCAGTGAGTGTAGTAGCAGTGATTGTAGTAGCAGTGATTGTAGTGGCAGTGATTGTAGTAGCAGTGATTGTAGTGGCAGTGATTGTAGTAGCAGTGATTGTAGTAGCAGTTATTGTAGTGGCAGTGATTGTAGTAGCAGTGATTGTAGTAGCAGTGATTGTAGTAGCAGTGATTGTAGTGGCAGTGATTGTACTCACTGATTGTAGTTGCAGTGATTGTAGTGGCAGTGATTGTAGTTACTGATTGTAGTGGCAGTGATTGTAGTGGCAGTGATTGTAGTGGCAGTGATTGTAGTTACTGATTGTAGTGGCAGTGATTGTAGTGGCAGTGATTGTAGTTACTGATTGTAGTGGCAGTGATTGTGGTGGCAGTAATTGTAATAGCAGTGATTGTAGTGGCAGTGATTGTAGTTACTGATTGTAGTGGCAGTGATTGTGGTGGCAGTAATTGTAATAGCAGTGATTGTAGTGGCAGTGATTGTAGTTACTGATTGTAGTGGCAGTGATTGTGGTTACTGATTGCAGTGGCAGTGATTGAAGCCACTGATTGTAGTGGCAGTGATTGTAGTGGCAGTGATTGTAGTAGCAGTGATTGTAGTGGCAGTGATTGTAGTCACTGATTGCGGTGGCAGTGATTGTAGTTACTGATTGTAGTGGCAGTAATTGTAGTAGCAATGCTTGTAGTGGCAGTGATTGTAATTACTGATTGTAGTGGCAGTGATTGCAGTTACTGATTGCAGTAGCAGTGATTGAAGTTACTGATTGTATTGGCAGTGATTGTATTGGCAGTGATTGTAGTGGCAGTGATTGCAGTAGCAGTGATTGTAGTGGCAGTGATTGTAGTGGCAGTGATTATAGTTACTGATTGTAGTGGCAGTGATTGTAGTTATTGATAATATTGGCAGTGATTGTAGTGGCAGTGATTGTAGTAGCAGTGATTGTAGTGGCAGTGATTGTAGTCACTGATTGTAGTGGCAGTGATTGTAGTTACTGATTGTAGTGGCAGTGATTGTAGTTACTGATTGAAGTGGCAGTAATTGTAGTAGCAGTGATTGTTTTGGCAGTGATTGTAGTGGCAGTGATTGTATTGGTAGTGATTGTAATGGCAGTGATTGTAGTGGTAGTGATTGTAGTGGCAATGATTGTAATGAAAGTGATTGTAGTAGCATTGATTGTAGTGATTGTGGTGACAGTGATTGTAGCAGCAGTGATTGTAGTGGCAGTGATTGTAACGGCAATGCTTGTAGTGGTAGTAATTGTAGTGGTAGTGATTGTAGTGGCAGTGATTGCATTGACAATGATTGTAGTGACAGTGATTGTAGTAACAGTGATTGTAGTGTTAGGGATTGCAGTGGCAGTGATTGTAGTAGCTATGATTGTAGTGACAGCGATTGTAGTAGCAGTGATTGTAGTTACTGATTGGGGTGACAGTAATTCATGTCAGTGATCGTAGTGACAGTGATTGTAGTGACAGTGATTGTTATGACAATGATTGTAGTGGCAGTGATTGTAGTAGCAGTGATTGTAGTAGCAGTAATTATAGTGACAATGATTCCAGTTACAGTGATTGTAGTAGCAGTGATTGTAGTGACAGCGATTGTAGTAGCAGTGATTGTAGTTACTGATTGGGGTGACAGTAATTCATGTCAATGATCGTAGTGACAGTGATTGTAGTGACAGTGATTGTTATGACAGTGATTGTAGTGGCAGTGCTTTTAGTAGCAGTGATTACAGTAGCAGTGATTATAGTGACAATGATTCCAGTTACAGTGATTGTAGTAGCCGTGATTGCAGTGACAGCGATTGTAGTTACTGATTGTAGTGGCAGTGATTGTGGTTACTGATTGCAGTGGCAGTGATTGTAGTGGCAGTGATTGTAGTAGCAGTGATTGTAGTGGCAGTGATTGTTGTTACTGATTGTAGTGGCAGTGATTGTAGTAGCAGTGTTTGTAGTGGCAGTGATTGTAGTTACTGATTGTAGTGGCAGTGATTATGGTTACTGATTGCAGTGGCAGTGATTGTAGTCACTGATTGTAGTGGCAGTGATTGTAGTAGTAGTGATTGTAGTGGCAGTGATTGTAGTTACTGATTGTAGTGGCAGTGATTGTAGTAGCAATGCTTGTAGTGGCAGTGATTGTAATTACTGATTGTAGTGGCAGTGATTGCAGTTACTGATTGCAGTGGCAGTGATTGTAGTTACTGATTGTATTGGCAGTGATTGTATTGGCAGTGATTGTAGTGGCAATGATTGTATTGTCAGTGATTGTAGTGGCAGTGATTGCAATAGGAGTGATTGTAGTAGCAGTGATTGTAGTAGCAGTGATTGTAGTGGCAATGAATATAGTTACTGATTGTAGTGGCAGTGATTGCAGTTATTGATTGTTTTGGCAGTGATTGTAGTGGAAGTGATTGTAGTGGCAGTGATTGTAGTCACTGATTGTAGTGGCAGTGATTGTAGTTTCTAATTGTAGTTACTGATTGAAGTGGCAGTAATTGTAGTAGCAGTGATTGTATTGGCAATGATTGTAGTGGCAGTGATTGGAGTGGTAGTGATTATAGTGGCAGTGATTGTAGTGGAAGTGATTGTATAGGTAATGATTGTATTGGCATTGATCGTATTGGTAGTGATTGTAGTGGGAGTGATTGTAGTGGTAGTGATTGTAGTGGCAATGATTGTAATGAAAGTGATTATAGTAGCAGTGATTGTAGTGATTGTGGTGACAGTGATTGTAGCAGCAGTGATTGTAGTGGCAGTGATTGTAATGGCAATGATTGTAGTGGTAGTAATTGTAGTGGTAGTGAATGTAGTGGCAGTGATTGCATTGACAATGATTGTAGTGGCAGTGATTTTAGTAGCAGTGATTGTAGTAGCAGTAATTGTAGTGACAATGATTCCAGTTACAGTGATTGTAGTAGCAGTGATTGTAGTGACAGCGATTGTAGTTACTGATTGGGGTGACATTTTCATGTCAGTGATCGTAGTGACAGTGATTGTAGTGACAGTGATTGTTATGACAGTGATTGTAGTGGCAGTGATTTTAGTAGCAGTGATTATAGTAGCAGTGATTGTAGTGACAATGATTCCAGTTACAGTGATTGTAGTAGCAGTGATTGCAGTGACAGCGATTGTAGTAGCAGTGATTGTAGTTACCGATTGGGGTGACAGTAATTCATGTCAGTGATCGTAGTGACAGTGATTGTAGTGACAGTGATTGTAGTAGCAGTGATTGTAGTAGCAGTGATTGTAGTGGCAGTGATTGTAGTGGCAGTGATTGTAGTGACAGATATTTTAGTAGCAGTGATTGTAGTAGCAGGTATTGTAGTGGCAGTGATTGTAGTAGCAGTGATTGTAGTAGCAGTGATTGTAGTAGCAGTTATTGTAGTGGCAGTGATTGTAGTAGCAGTGATTGTAGTAGCAGTGATTGTAGTAGCAGTGATTGTAGTCACTGATTGTAGTTGCAGTGATTGTAGTTACTGATTGTAGTGACAGTGATTGTAGTTACTGATTGTAGTGGCAGTGAATGTAGTTACTAATTGTAGTGGCAGTGATTGTAGTTACTGATTGTAGTGGCAGTGATTGTAGTAGCAGTGATTGTAGTGGCAGTGATAGTAGTTACTGATTGTAGTGGCAGTGATTGTGGCGGCAGTGATTGTAGTAGCAGTGATTGTAGTGGCAGTGATTGTAGTTACTGATTGTAGTGGCAGTGATTGTGGTTACTGATTGCAGTGGCAGTGATTGTAGTCACTGATTGTAGTGGCAGTGATTGTAGTGGCAGTGATTGTAGTAGCAGTGATTGTAGTGGCAGTGATTGTAGTCACTGATTGTAGTGGCAGTGATTGTAGTTACTGATTGTAGTGGCAGTGATTGTAGTAGCAATGCTTGTTGTGGCAGTGATTGTAATTACTGGTTGTAGTGGCAGTGATTGCAGTTACTGATTGCAGTGGCAGTGATTGTAGTTACTGATTGTATTGGCAGTGATTGTATTGGCAGTGATTGTAGTGGCAATGATTGTATTGTCAGTGATTGTAGTGGCAGTGATTGCAGTGGCAGTGATTGTAGTGGCAGTGATTGTAGTAGCAGTGATTGTAGTGGCAGTGATTGTAATGGCAGTGAATATAGTTACTGATTGTAGTGGCAGTGGTTGTAGTTATTGATTGTATTGTCAGTGATTGTATTGGCAGTGATTGTAGTGGAAGTGATTGTAGTAGCAGTGATTGTAGTGGCAGTGATTATAGTCACTGATTGTAGTGGCAGTAATTGTAGTTACTGATTGTAGTGTCAATGATTGTAGTTACTGATTTAAGTGGCAGTAATTGTAGTAGCAGTGATTATATTGGCAGTGATTGTAGTGGCAGTGATTGGAGTGGCAGTGATTGTAGTGGCAGTGATTGTAGGGGAAGTGATTATATTGGTAATGATTGTATTGGCAGTGATTGTATTGGTAGTGATTGTAGTGAGAGTGATTGTAGTGGTAGTGATTGTAGTGGCAATGATTGTAGTGGCAATGATTGTAATGAAAGTGATTGTAGTAGCAGTGATTGTAGTGATTGTGGTGACAGTGATTGTAGCAGCAGTGATTGTAGTGACAGTGATTGTAATGGCAATGATTGTAGTGGTAGTAATTGTAGTGGTAGTGATTGTAGTGGCAGTGATTGCATTGACAATGATTGTAGTGGCAGTGATTTTAGTAGCAGTGATTGTAGTGGCAGTAATTGTAGTGACAATGATTCCAGTTACAGTGATTGTAGTTGCAGTGTTTGTAGTGACAGCGATTGTAGTAGCAGTGATTGTAGTTACTGATTGGGGTGACAGTAATTCATGTCAGTGATCGTAGTGACAGTGATTGTAGTGACAGTGATTGTTATGACAGTGATTGTAGTGGCAGTGATTTTAGTAGCAGTGATTATAGTAGCAGTGATTGTAGTGACAATGATTCCAGTTACAGTGATTGTAGTAGCAGTGATTGCAGTGACAGCGATTGTAGTAGCAGTGATTGTAGTTACTGATTGGGGTGAGAGTAATTCATATGTCAATGATCGTAGTGACAGTGATTGTAGTGACAGTGATTGTAGTAGCAGTGATTGTAGTGGCAGTGATTGTAGTTACTGATTGTAGTGGCAGTGATTGTAGTGGCAGTTATTGTAGTTACTGATTGTAGTGGCAGTGATTGTAGTTAATGATTGTAGTGGCAGTGATTGTAGTGGCAATGATTATAGTGGCATTGATTGTAGTTACTGATTGTAGTGGCAGTGATTGTAGTAGCAGTGATTTTAGTGGCAGTGACTGTGGTTACTGATTGCAGTGGCAGTGACTGTAGTTACTGATTGTAGTGGCAGTGATTGTAGTAGCAGTGATTGTAGTGGCAGTGATTGTAGTCACTGATTGTAGTGGCAGTAAGTGTAGTTACTGATTGTAGTGGCAGTGATTGTAGTAGCAATGATTGTAGTGGCAGTGATTGTGGTTACTGATTGCAGTGGCAGTGATTGTAGTTACTGATTGCAGTGGCAGTGATTGTAGTGGCAGTGATTGTAGTCACTGATTGTAGTTACTGATTGTAGTGGCAGTGATTGTAGAAGCAATGATTGTAGTTACTGATTGTAGTGGCAGTGATTGCAGTTACTGATTGCAGAGGCAGAGATTGTAGTTACTGATTGTAGTGGCAGTGATTGATTTAACAGTGATGTATTGGCAGTGATTGAAGTAGCAGTGATTGTAGTGGCAGTGATTGTAGTGGCAGGGATTGTAGTCACTGATTGTAGTGGCAGTGATTGTAGTTACTGATTGTAGTGGCAGTGATTGTAGAAGCAATGATTGTAGTGGCAGTGATTGTAGTTACTGATTGTAGTGGCAGTGATTGCAGTTACTGATTGCAGTGGCAGAGATTGTAGTTACTGATTGTAGTGGCAGTGATTGTATTAACAGTGATTGTATTAGCAGTGATTGTAGTGGCAGTGATTGTAGTCACTGATTGTAGTGGCAGTAAGTGTAGTTACTGATTGTAGTGGCAGTGATTGTAGTAGCAATGATTGTAGTGGCAGTGATTGTGGTTACTGATTGCAGTGGCAGTGATTGTAGTTACTGATTGCAGTGGCAGTGATTGTAGTGGCAGTGATTGTAGTCACTGATTGTAGTTACTGATTGTAGTGGCAGTGATTGTAGAAGCAATGATTGTAGTTACTGATTGTAGTGGCAGTGATTGCAGTTACTGATTGCAGAGGCAGAGATTGTAGTTACTGATTGTAGTGGCAGTGATTGATTTAACAGTGATGTATTGGCAGTGATTGAAGTAGCAGTGATTGTAGTGGCAGTGATTGTAGTGGCAGTGATTGTAGTCACTGATTGTAGTGGCAGTGATTGTAGTTACTGATTGTAGTGGCAGTGATTGTAGAAGCAATGATTGTAGTGGCAGTGATTGTAGTTACTGATTGTAGTGGCAGTGATTGCAGTTACTGATTGCAGTGGCAGAGATTGTAGTTACTGATTGTAGTGGCAGTGATTGTATTAACAGTGATTGTATTGGCAGTGATTGTATTGGCAGTGATTGTAGTGGCAGTCATTATAGTTACTGATTGTAGTTATTGATTGTATTGTCAGTGATTGTATTGTCAGTGATTGTATTGACAGTGATTGTAGTATTGATTTTATTGGCAGCGATTGTATTGGCAGTGATTGTATTGAAAGTGATTGTAGTTGCAGTGATTGTATTGGCAGTGATTGTAGTAGCAGTGATTGTAGTCACTGATTGTAGTGGCAGTGATAGTAGTTACTGATTGTAGTTACTGATTATGGTGGCAGTGATTGTAGTGGCAGTGATTGTATTGGCAGTGATTGTAGTGGCAGAGATTGGAGTGGCAGTTATTGTAGTGGCACTGATTGTAGTGGAAGTGATTGTATTGGTAGTGATTGTAGTGGCAGTGATTGTATTGGTAGTGATTATAGTGGCAGTGATTGTAGTTGCAGTGATTGTAGTGGTAGTGATTGTAGTGGCAATGATTGTAATGAAAGTGATTGTACTAGCAGTGATTGTAGTGGTAGTGATTGTAGTGGCAGTGATTGTAATGGCAATGATTGTAGTGACTAGGATTCCAGTTACAGTTATTGTAGCAGCAGTGATTGTAGTGACAGCGATTGTAGTAGCAGTGATTGTAGTAGCAGTGATTGTAGTGACTAGGATTCCAGTTACAGATATTGTAGCAGCAGTGATTGAAGTGACAGCGATTGTAGTAGCAGTGATTGTAGTTACTGATTTTAGTGACAGTAATTCATATATCAGTGATCATAGTGACAGTGATTGTAGTGACAGTGATTGTAGTGACAATGATTCCAGTGGCAATGATTGTAATGACAGTGATTGTAGTGACAGTGATTGTAATGGTAGTGATTGAAGTGACAGTGATTGTAATGGCAGTCATTGAAGTGACAGTGATGTAGTGGTAGTGATTGTAGTAGCAGTGATTGTAGTGGCAGTGATTGTTGTGAGAGTGATTGTAGTGACAGTGATTGCAGTGATAGTGATTGTAGTAGCAGTGATTGTAGTGACTGATTGTTGTGACAGTGATTCTAGTGACTGTGATTGCAGTGGTAGTGATTATAGTAGCAGTGATTGTAGTGACAGTGATTGTAGTGACAGTGATTATAGAAGCAGAGATTGTAGTGACAGTGATTCTTGTGTCAGTGACTATAGTGACAGTGATTGTAGTGATAGAGATAATATTGACAGTAATAGTAGTGGCAGTGATTGTAGTGACAGTGATTGTAGTGGCAGTGGTTGTAGTGGCAGTGGTTGTAGTGACAGTGGTTGTAGTGACAGTGATTGTAGTGGCAGTGATTGTAGTGACAGTGATTGTAGTGGCAGTGGTTGTAGTGACAGTGGTTGTAGTGGTAGTGATTGTAGTATCAGTAATTGTAGTAGCATTGATTGTTGTGACAGTGATTGTAGTGACAGTGATTGTAGTGGTAGTGTTTGTAGTAGCAGTGATTGTAGTAAGTGATTGTAGTGACAGTGATTATAGTAGCAGATATATTAGTGACAGTGATTGTAGTGGCAATGATTGTAATGAAGGTGATTGTAGTAGCAGTGATTGTAGTGATTGTGGTGACAGTGATTGTAGCAGCAGTGATTGTAGTGACAGTGATTGTAATGGCAATGATTGTAGTGGTAGTAATTGTAGTGGTAGTGATTGTAGTGGCAGTGATTGCATTGACAATGATTGTAGTGGCAGTGATTTTAGTAGCAGTGATTGTAGTGGCAGTAATTGTAGTGACAATGATTCCAGTTACAGTGATTGTAGTTGCAGTGTTTGTAGTGACAGCGATTGTAGTAGCAGTGATTGTAGTTACTGATTGGGGTGACAGTAATTCATGTCAGTGATCGTAGTGACAGTGATTGTAGTGACAGTGATTGTTATGACAGTGATTGTAGTGGCAGTGATTTTAGTAGCAGTGATTATAGTAGCAGTGATTGTAGTGACAATGATTCCAGTTACAGTGATTGTAGTAGCAGTGATTGCAGTGACAGCGATTGTAGTAGCAGTGATTGTAGTTACTGATTGGGGTGAGAGTAATTCATATGTCAATGATCGTAGTGACAGTGATTGTAGTGACAGTAATTGTAGTAGCAGTGATTGTAGTGGCAGTGATTGTAGTTACTGATTGTAGTGGCAGTGATTGTAGTGGCAGTGATTGTAGTTACTGATTGTAGTGGCAGTGATTGTAGTTAATGATTGTAGTGGCAGTGATTGTAGTGGCAATGATTATAGTGGCATTGATTGTAGTTACTGATTGTAGTGGCAGTGATTGTAGTAGCAGTGATTTTAGTGGCAGTGACTGTGGTTACTGATTGCAGTGGCAGTGACTGTAGTTACTGATTGTAGTGGCAGTGATTGTAGTAGCAGTGATTGTAGTGGCAGTGATTGTAGTCACTGATTGTAGTGGCAGTAAGTGTAGTTACTGATTGTAGTGGCAGTGATTGTAGTAGCAATGATTGTAGTGGCAGTGATTGTGGTTACTGATTGCAGTGGCAGTGATTGTAGTTACTGATTGCAGTGGCAGTGATTGTAGTGGCAGTGATTGTCGTCACTGATTGTAGTTACTGATTGTAGTGGCAGTGATTGTAGAAGCAATGATTGTAGTTACTGATTGTAGTGGCAGTGATTGCAGTTACTGATTGCAGAGGCAGAGATTGTAGTTACTGATTGTAGTGGCAGTGATTGATTTAACAGTGATGTATTGGCAGTGATTGAAGTAGCAGTGATTGTAGTGGCAGTGATTGTAGTGGCAGTGATTGTAGTCACTGATTGTAGTGGCAGTGATTGTAGTTACTGATTGTAGTGGCAGTGATTGTAGAAGCAATGATTGTAGTGGCAGTGATTGTAGTTACTGATTGTAGTGGCAGTGATTGCAGTTACTGATTACAGTGGCAGAGATTGTAGTTACTGATTGTAGTGGCAGTGATTGTATTAACAGTGATTGTATTGGCAGTGATTGTAGTGGCAGTGATTGTAGTCACTGATTGTAGTGGCAGTAAGTGTAGTTACTGATTGTAGTGGCAGTGATTGTAGTAGCAATGATTGTAGTGGCAGTGATTGTGGTTACTGATTGCAGTGGCAGTGATTGTAGTTACTGATTGCAGTGGCAGTGATTGTAGTGGCAGTGATTGTAGTCACTGATTGTAGTTACTGATTGTAGTGGCAGTGATTGTAGAAGCAATGATTGTAGTTACTGATTGTAGTGGCAGTGATTGCAGTTACTGATTACAGAGGCAGAGATTGTAGTTACTGATTGTAGTGGCAGTGATTGATTTAACAGTGATGTATTGGCAGTGATTGAAGTAGCAGTGATTGTAGTGGCAGTGATTGAAGTAGCAGTGATTGTAGTGGCAGTGATTGTAGTGGCAGTGATTGTAGTCACTGATTGTAGTGGCAGTGATTGTAGTTACTGATTGTAGTGGCAGTGATTGTAGAAGCAATGATTGTAGTGGCAGTGATTGTAGTTACTGATTGTAGTGGCAGTGATTGCAGTTACTGATTGCAGCGGCAGAGATTGTAGTTACTGATTGTAGTGGCAGTGATTGTATTAACAGTGATTGTATTGGCAGTCATTATAGTTACTGATTGTAGTTATTGATTGTATTGTCAGTGATTGTATTGTCAGTGATTGTATTGACAGTGATTGTAGTATTGATTTTATTGGCAGCGATTGTATTGGCAGTGATTGTATTGACAGTGATTGTAGTTGCAGTGATTGTATTGGCAGTGATTGTAGTAGCAGTGATTGTAGTCACTGATTGTAGTGGCAGTGATAGTAGTTACTGATTGTAGTTACTGATTATGGTGGCAGTGATTGTAGTGGCAGTGATTGTATTGGCAGTGATTGTAGTGGCAGAGATTGGAGTGGCAGTTATTGTAGTGGCACTGATTGTAGTGGAAGTGATTGTATTGGTAGTGATTGTAGTGGCAGTGATTGTATTGGTAGTGATTATAGTGGCAGTGATTGTAGTTGCAGTGATTGTAGTGGTAGTGATTGTAGTGGCAATGATTGTAATGAAAGTGATTGTACTAGCAGTGATTGTAGTGGTAGTGATTGTAGTGGCAGTGATTGTAATGGCAATGATTGTAGTGACTAGGATTCCAGTTACAGTTATTGTAGCAGCAGTGATTGTAGTGACAGCGATTGTAGTAGCAGTGATTGTAGTAGCAGTGATTGTAGTGACTAGGATTCCAGTTACAGATATTGTAGCAGCAGTGATTGTAGTGACAGCGATTGTAGTAGCAGTGATTGTAGTTACTGATTTTAGTGACAGTAATTCATATATCAGTGATCATAGTGACAGTGATTGTAGTGACAGTGATTGTAGTGACAATGATTCCAGTGGCAATGATTGTAATGACAGTGATTGTAGTGACAGTGATTGTAATGGTAGTGATTGAAGTGACAGTGATTGTAATGGCAGTCATTGAAGTGACAGTGATGTAGTGGTAGTGATTGTAGTAGCAGTGATTGTAGTGGCAGTGATTGTTGTGAGAGTGATTGTAGTGACAGTGATTGCAGTGATAGTGATTGTAGTAGCAGTGATTGTAGTGACTGATTGTTGTGACAGTGATTCTAGTGACTGTGATTGCAGTGGTAGTGATTATAGTAGCAGTGATTGTAGTGACAGTGATTGTAGTGACAGTGATTATAGAAGCAGAGATTGTAGTGACAGTGATTCTTGTGTCAGTGACTATAGTGACAGTGATTGTAGTGATAGAGATAATATTGACAGTAATAGTAGTGGCAGTGATTGTAGTGACAGTGATTGTAGTGGCAGTGGTTGTAGTGGCAGTGGTTGTAGTGACAGTGGTTGTAGTGACAGTGATTGTAGTGGCAGTGATTGTAGTGACAGTGATTGTAGTGGCAGTGGTTGTAGTGACAGTGGTTGTAGTGGTTGTGATTGTAGTATCAGTAATTGTAGTAGCATTGATTGTTGTGACAGTGATTGTAGTGACAGTGATTGTAGTGGTAGTGTTTGTAGTAGCAGTGATTGTAGTAAGTGATTGTAGTGACAGTGATTATAGTAGCAGATATATTAGTGACAGTGATTGTAGTGACAATGATTGTATACACAGTAACTGTAGTAGCAGTGATTGTAGTGGCAGTGACTGTAGTGACAGTGATATTAGTGACAGAGATTGTTGTGACAGTGATTGTAGTTACTGATTGTAGTGATAGTGATTGCAGTGGTAGTAATTGTAATGGTAGTGATTGTAGTGACAGTGGTTGTTATGGCAGTGATTGTAGTGGTAGTGATTGTAGTGACAATGATTCTGGTGGCAGTGATTGTAGTGACAGTGATAGTAGTGGTAGTGAGTTTGGTGACAGTGATTGTAGTGACAGTGATTGTAGTAGCAGTGATTGTAGTTACTGATTGTAGTGACAATGATTATTGTGGCAGTGATTGTAGTAGCAGTGATTGTAGTGACAGTGATTCTGGTGGCAGTGATTGTAGTGACAGTGACTGTTGTGACAGTGATTGTAGTGGTAGTGATTGTAGTGATAGCGATTGTAGTAACAGTGATTGTAGTGACAGTGATGGTAGTGGCAGTGATTGTAGTGGCAGTAATTGTATTGGCAGTGATTGTATTGGCAGTGATTGTAGTGGCAGTGATATAAGTGGCAGTGATTGTAGTAGCAGTGATTGTAGTAGCAGTGATTGTAGTGACAGTGATTGTAGTGACAGTGATTGTAATAGTAGTGATTGTAGTGGCAGTGATTGTAGTGGCAGTGATTATAGTTACTAATTTTAGTTATTGATTGTATTGTGAGTGATTGTATTGGCAGTGATTGTAGTTATTAATTTTATTAGCAGTGATTGTATTGACAGTGATTGTAGTGGCAGTGATTGTATTGGCAGTGATTGTAGTGGCAGTGATTGTAGTCACTGGCTGTAGTGGCTCTGATTGTAGTTACTGATTGTAGTGGCAATGGTTGTAGTTACTGATTGTAGTGGCAGTATTTGTAGTGGCAGTGATTGTATTGGCAGTGATTGTAGTGGCAGTGATTGGAGTGGCAGTGATTGTAGTGGAATTGATTGTATTGGTAGTGATTTTTGTGGCAGTGATTGTATTGGTAGTGATTGTAGTGGCAGTGATTGTAGTTGTAGTGATTGTAGTGGTAGTGATTGTAGTGGCAATGATTGTAATGAAAGTGATTGTAGTAGCAGTGATTGTAGTGGTAGTGATTGTAGTGACAGTGATTGTAGCAGCAGTGATTGTAGTGGCAGTGATTGTAATGGCAATGATTGTAGTGGCAGTGATTGTAATGGCAATGATTGTAGTGGTAGTAATTGTAGTTGTAGTGATTGTAGTGGCAGTGATTGCATTGGCATTGATTGTAGTGACAGTGATTGTAGTGACAGTGATTGTTATGACAGTGATTGTAGTGGCAGTGATTGTAGTAGCAGTGATTATAGTAGCAGTGATTGTAGTGACAATGATTCCAGTTACAGTGATTGTAGTAGCAGTGATTGTAGTGACAGCGATTGTAGTAACAGTGATTGTAGTTACTGATTGGGGTGACAGTAATTCATATGTCAGTGATCGTAGTGACAGTGATTGTAGTGACAGTGATTGCAGTGACAATGATTCCAGTGGCAGTGATTGTAGTGAGTGATTGTAGTGACAGTGATTGTAGTGACAGTGATTGCAGTGACAATGATTGCAGTTGCAGTGATTGTAATGAAAGTGATTGTAGTGACAGTGATTGTAATGGTAGTGATTGTAGTGACAATTATTGTAGTGGCAGTAATTGGAGTGACAGTGATTGTAGTGGAAGTGATTGTAGTAGCAGTGATTGTAGTGGCAGTGATTGTTGTGAGAGTGATTGTAGTGACAGTGATTGCAGTGGTAGTGATTGTAATAGCAGTGATTGTAGTGACAGTGATTGTAGTGACAGTGATAATAGTAGCAGAGATTGTAGTGACAGTGATTCTTGTGTCAGTGACTGTAGTGACAGTGATTGTATTGACAGTAATTGTAATGAAAGTGATTGAAGTGGCAGTGGTTGTAGTGACAGTGATTGTAGTGGTAGTGATTGCAGTAGCAGTGATTGTAGTGGCAGTGATTGTTGTGACAGTGATTCTAGTGACAGTGATTTTAGTGACAGTGATTGTAGTAACAGTGATTGTAGTAGCAGTGATTGTAGTGACAATGATTATAGTAGCAGAGATTGTAGTGACTGATTCTTGTGTCGGTGATTGTAGTGCCAGTGATTCTTGTGTCAGTGATTGTAGTGACAGTGATTGTATATACAGTAATTGTAGTGGCAGTGATTGTAGTGGCAGGTATTGTGGTGACAGTGATTGTAGTGACAGAGATTGTAGTGGCAGTGATTGTAGTGGCAGTGGTTGTAGTGACAGTGGTTGTAGTGGCAGTGATTGTAGTAGCAGTGTTTGTAGTTGCAGTGATTGTAGTGAGTGATTGTAGTGACAGTGATTATAGTGGCAGAGATTGTAGTGACAGTGATTCTTGTGTCGGTGATTGTAGTGACAGTGATTATAGTAGCAGAGATTGCAGTGACAGTGATTCTTGTGTCGGTGATTGTAGTGCCAGTGATTCTTGTGTCAGTCATTGTTGTGACAGTGATTGTATTTACAGTAATTGTTGTGGCAGTGATTGTAGTGACAGTAATTGTATTTACAGTAATTGTAGTGGCAGTGATTGTAGTGGCAGTGATTGCGATGACAGTGATTGTAGTGACAGAGAATGTTGTGACAGTGATTGTAGTAGCAGTGATTGTAGTTACTGATTGTAGTGACAGTGATTGCACTGATAGTAATTTTAATGGTAGTGATTGTAGTGACAGTGGTTGTTGTGGTAGTGATTGTAGTGGTAGTGATTGTAGTAACAATGATTCTGGTGGCAGTGATTGTACTGACAGTGATAGTAGTGGTAGTGAGTTTAGTGACAGTGATAGTAGTGACAGTGATTGTAGTAGCAGTGATTGTTGTGGCAGTGATTGTAGTAGCAGTGATTGTAGTGACAATGATTCCAGTGGCAATGATTGTAGTGACAGTGATTGTAGTGATAGTGATAATATTGACAGTAATAGTAGTGGCAGTGATTGTAGTTGCATTGGCTGTAGTGATGGTGATTGTAGTGGCAGTGGTTGTAGTGACAGTGGTTGTAGTGACAGTGATTGTAGTGGCAGTGATTGTAGTGACAGTGATTGTAGTGGCAGTGGTTGTAGTGACAGTGGTTATAATGGTAGTGATTGTAGTATCAGTGATTGTAGTAGCATTGATTGTTGTGACAGTGATTGTTGTGACAGTGATTGTAGTGGTAGTGTTTGTAGTAGCAGTGATTGTAGTGAGTGATTGTAGTGACAGTGATTATAGTAGCAGAGATTGTAGTGAGAGTGATTGTAGTGACAGTGATTGTATACACAGTAATTGTAGTGGCAGTGATTGTAGTGACAGTGATTGTAGTGATAGTGATATTAGTGACAGTGATTGTTGTGACAGTGATTGTTGTGACAGTGATTGTAGTAGCAGTGATTGTAGTTACTGATTGTAGGGACAGTTATTGCAGTGGTAGTAATTGTAATGGTAGTGATTGTAGTGACAGTGGTTGTTGTGGCAGTGATTGTAGTGGTAGTGATTGTAGTGACAATGATTCTGGTGGCAGTGATTGTAGTGACAGTGATAGTAGTGGTAATGAGTTTTGTGACAGTGATTGTAGTGACAGTGGTTGTTGTAGCAGTGATTGTAGTTACTGATTGTCGTTACAGTGATTGCAGTGGTAGTAATTGTATTGGTAGTGATTGTAGTGACAGTGGTTGTTGTGGCAGTGATTGTAGTGGTAGTGATTGTAGTGACAATGATTCTGGTGGCAGTGATTGTAGTGACAATGATAGTAGTGGTAATGAGTTTTGTGACAGTGGTTGTTGTAGCAGTGATTGTAGTTACTGATTGTCGTTACAGTGATTGCAGTGGTAGTAATTGTAATGGTAGTGATTGTAGTGACAGTGGTTGTTGTGGCAGTGATTGTAGTGGTAGTGATTGTAGTGACAATGATTCTGGTGCCAGTGATTGTAGTGACAGTAATTGTAGTGACAGTGATAGTAGTGGTAGTGAGTTTAGTGACAGTGATTGTAGTGGTAGTGATTGTAATAGCAGTGATTGTAGTGACAGTGATTGTAGTGAAAGTGGTTATAGTAGCAGAGATTGTAGTGACAGTGATTCATGTGTCAGTGATTGTAGTGACAGTGATTGTAATGACAATAATTGTAGTGGCAGTGATTGTAGTGGCAGTGATTGTAGTTACTGATTGTAGTGACAGTGATTGCAGTGGTAGTAATTGTAATGGTAGTGATTGTAGTGACAGTGGTTGTTGTGGCAGTGATTGTAGTGGTAGTGATTGTAGTAACAATGATTCTGGTGGCAGTGATTGTAGTGACAGTGATTGTAGTGACAGTGATGGTAGTGACAGTGATTTTAGTAGCAGTGATTGTAGTGACAATGATTCTGGTGTCAGTGATTGTAGTGACAGTGACTGTAGTGACAGTGATTGTAGTGGTAGTGATTGTAGTGATAGTGATTGTAGTAACAGTGATTGTAGTGACAGTAATGGTAGTGGCAGTGATTGTAGTGGCAGTGATTGTATTGGCAGTGATTGTATTGGCAGTGATTGTAGTGGCACTGATTGTAGTAGCAGTGATTGTAGTGGCAGTGATTGTAGTCACTGATTGTAGTGACATTGATTGTAGTGACAGTGATTGTAGTGATAGTGATTGTAATAACAGTGATTGCAGTAACAGTGATTGTAGTGGTAATGATTGTAGTGTCAGTGATTGTAGTGACAGTGATTGTAGTGACAGTGATTGTAGTGACAGTGATTATAGTGACAGTGATTGTAGTGACAATGAGTGTAGTGACAGGGATTGCAGTAGCAGTGATTGTAGTGGTAGTGATTGTAGTTACAGTGATTGTAGTAGCAGTGATTGTAGTGACAGTGATTGTAGTGATAGTGATTGTAGTGACAGTGATTATAGTGATAGTGATTGTAGTGTCATTGATTGTAGTGACAGTTATTGTAGTGACAGTGATTGTAGTGACAGTGATTATAGTGACAGTGATTGTAGTGACAATGAGTGTAGTGACAGGGATTGTAGTAGCAGTGATTGTAGTGGTAGTGATTGTAGTGACAGTGATTGTAGTAGCAGTGATTGTAGTGACAGTGATTGTAGTGATAGTGATTGTAGTGACAGTGATTATATTGATAGTGATTGTAGTGTCATTGATTGTAGTGACAGTGATTGTAGTGACAGTGATTGTAGTGACAGTGATTATAGTGACAGTGATTGTAGTGACAATGAGTGTAGTGACAGGGATTGTAGTTGCAGTGATTGTAGTGACAGTGATTGTAGTGGTAGTGATTGTAGTGACAGTGATTGTAGTAGCAGTGTTTGTAGTGACAGTGATTGTAGTAGCAGTGATTGTAGTGACAGTGATTGTAGTGATAGTGATTGTTGTGACAGTGATTATAGTGATAGTGATTATAGTGATAGTGTACGTCTTGGTGTACATGGAGCAGTGTACGTCTTGGTGTACATGGAGCAGTGTACGTCTTGGTGTACATGGAGCAGTGTACGTCTTGGTGTACATGGAGCAGTGTGTACCTCTTGGTGTACATGGAGCAGTGTACCTCTTGGTGTACATGGAGCAGTGTACCTCTTGGTGTACATGGAGCAGAGTGTACCTCTTGGTGTACATGGAGCAGAGTGTACCTCTTGGTGTACATGGAGCTGTATGTACCTCTTGGTGTACATGGAGCAGAGTGTACCCCTTGGTGTACATGGAGCAGAATGTACCTCTTGGTGTACATGGAGCAGAGTGTACCTCTTGGTGTACATGGAGCAGAGTGTACCTCTTGGTGTACATGGAGCAGAGTGTACCTCTTGGTGTACATGGAGCAGAGTGTACCTCTTGGTGTACATGGAGCAGAGTGTACCTCTTGGTGTACATGGAGCAGAGTGTACCTCTTGGTGTACATGGAGCAGAGTGTACCTCTTGGTGTACATGGAGCAGAGTGTACCTCTTGGTGTACATGGAGCAGAGTGTACCTCTTGGTGTACATGGAGCAGTGTGTACCTCTTGGTGTACATGGAGCTGTATGTACCTCTTGGTGTGCATGGAGCAGTGTGTGCCTCTTGGTGTACATGGAGCAGAGTGTACCTCTTGGTGTACATGGAGCAGTGTGTACCTCTTGGTGTACATGGAGCAGTGTGTACCTCTTGGTGTACATGGAGCAGAGTGTACCTCTTGGTGTACATGGAGCAGTGTACCTCTTGGTGTACATGGAGCTGTATGTACCTCTTGGTGTACATGGAGCAGAGTGTACCTCTTGGTGTACATGGAGCAGAGTGTACCTCTTGGTGTACATGGAGCAGTGTGTACCTCTTGGTGTACATGGAGCAGTGTGTACCTCTTGGTGTACATGGAGCAGAGTGTACCTCTTGGTGTACATGGAGCAGTGTACCTCTTGGTGTACATGGAGCTGTATGTACCTCTTGGTGTACATGGAGCAGTGTGTACCTCTTGGTGTACATGGAGCAGAGTGTACCTCTTGGTGTACATGGAGCAGAGTGTACCTCTTGGTGTACATGGAGCTGTATGTACCTCTTGGTGTACATGGAGCAGTGTGTACCTCTTGGTGTACATGGAGCAGAGTGTACCTCTTGGTGTACATGGAGCAGAGTGTACCTCTTGGTGTACATGGAGCAGAGTGTACCTCTTGGTGTACATGGAGCAGTGTGTACCTCTTGGTGTACATGGAGCAGTGTGTACCTCTTGGTGTACATGGAGCAGAGTGTACCTCTTGGTGTACATGGAGCAGTGTACCTCTTGGTGTACATGGAGCTGTATGTACCTCTTGGTGTACATGGAGCAGAGTGTACCTCTTGGTGTACATGGAGCAGTGTGTACCTCTTGGTGTACATGGAGCAGAGTGTACCTCTTGGTGTACATGGAGCAGAGTGTACCTCTTGGTGTAC